CAGTTCTCCACACCATCTTAACACCATCTGGCACAACACTAGTAACTGAGTGCAAACAAAACTAAGCCCTGTCAGTTCCAAATTCAAAGGATGCCATCTGATTTCAGGATGACTAGCCAGTGTTCTCTGCTGTCTCTTGCAATCTGCATCTTTTTAGTTATGTGGATACAGTGACAGTACAGATATTTCTGCTATAATGTGTGTTTTGTTAACACGAATTGGCTGTAACGCGATTGAAGAATAGTGTACGCAGTTTGGATAACATGAACTTTCTGCTGTACAGTATAGCGATTTTTCTATATTGATTTCCCTATAAAATGATTTTCTACGGTGATTTTCTATAGCGCAAGGTTTCACAAGAACGCAACTATTGCGTTCCAAGAGAACTATCTGTACTGATAGTTTGAGGTGCTCTGTTTTGTTTCTCTTGCAGATGCATGTTATCACAGCGGTGGTGAAATGTCTCCTTTAGACGGGTAGTTGGTAAACAGCTTCTGAGTTCTCCCTGTTTAAGTGAGACTGAGAACCATGAGTGGGTGGGGTCAGGGCTCACACAGACCCCGGAAGGTGTTTAGCTTTGCTTTCAGTTAGGGTGAAAGTTTCTGCTGGCTGCTGAAAGCTGTTAGAGTGAAGTCTTAAGCAAGAGTCTCCTTTGAAAAATCGAAAGGGGCAGATTATTTGTTTCATCTAGACTGGAGAGAGACAGCATGTGAGAACCATAACTCTTTTTGCTGAATTGCATTTTTCCCAAAGGATGTGTTCATAGGATGCTGCCTGAATTTGGAGCAGTTGATGATTAGTGGTTAAATAATACATTATCTTGTTAGGAATTTCAAGAGTAAAGTCATGCTGACTCTTTTTTTTTGTATTTTAACTGTGTTGTAAGAATGAAGTGTGTTTTGATTAAAGTCTAGTAAACGAATCACATCTGGAACACAGCACCTAACACTTGCCTTTAAATAAATATAAAAGTTTGAGTCTAGGCTATTTCCATAACATACTTTGGGGAGTGGGTCTGGTCTGGTCCATAACAAGTAACACCTACACCTTTTGAAAGTTACCTTCAGACAGAGTGTTTTAAACTAACAGCATTTCCCAGCAAGTGTTAATGTCATAATGTGACAGAAAGTTAGTAAGCAGGTACAGCAAGTGATTAGAAAAATAAACAGAATGTTGGAGTTATTGCCAGGGGAGCAAAGATTTGCTCCAGCTGTACATGGCCTCAGATTAAATTTGGAATGCAGAGTCTGATTTAGGGCTCTGTTATGGACTGGACCAGACCAGACCCCCAGAATATAGCAAGGAGATAGCTAGACCGTAACTTTCATATTTTTTTAAAGGCAAAGTCCCTTGGTTTTGTGTGAGCCTGACCTTGCCCACTCATGCTTCTTTTGTCAAATTTAAACCAAAAACCCAAAGCTATTTACTCTGCTTGCCAGGTCTAAACACCAGGGTGACAACACCCTCTGCAAGAGAAACAGGACAGAACACATCTCTCTTAAAGGCACAGTACTGTCTTAATCTACTCACTTAAGAATATAATCACATGAGAACCTCTTCAGAGAAGGTTTACACAATTGACTCCTGGGATGAGGGCTCTGCCTTACAAAGAAACAAACTAGTTGGGCTTTTGCCGACTGGAGCTTAGAAGAATGAAACATATTATTAAAATGTTTTAAGATCCTGTGGGACTTAACAGGGTAGATGCTGAGAGGATGTTTCCCCTTGAGTGGGGAATTTTTTTTCTTTATTCATTCATGGGATGAGGGCATTGCTGGTTAGGGAGCATTTATTGCCCATCCCTAATTTCCCAGAGGGTAGTTAAGAGTCAACCACATTGCTGTGGTCTGGAGTCACATGTAGGCCAGACCGGGTAAAGATGGCAGTTTCCTTCCCTAAAAGACATTAGTGAACCAGATGGATTGTTCTGACAATCGACAATGGATTCATGGTCATCATTAGACTCTTAATTCCAGATATTTATTGAATTCACATTCTACCATCTGCCATGGCGGGATTTGAACCCAGGTCACCAGAACATTATCTGAGTCTCTGGATTAACAGTCTAGCGATAATACCACTAGGCCATCGCCTCCCCTTATGTAGAACTTAGGGAGCTGAGTTTAAAAATTAGGGGCCTCCCATTTAAGGTTTGAGATGAGGAATTTTTTTTTTAATCAGAGTGATATTAATTGCTGGACTTTTCTTCCCCAGTGAGCAATGGAGGTTGGGTCATTGCAACTCAGCCTCAAATATATTCAAAGATTTTTAATGGATGAGGATTGTGGGGAGGCAGACAGGAAAGTGGAGTTGAGGCTCCTAAGGCCACGATCTTGTTGAAGGGTAGAACATGCTCAATGGGCCAAAAGGCAGCCCCTTATTTCACGTGTTTTAGTATTTTAGTCACATAAGCATTAAAGCAATTAATATGGTGCTTCCCAAATTTACTCCCACTCTCATCAAGTCTTGAAAATTGTCACGACTCCTTAGTAAAAAAAAATGAGACTGAGCCAGGTGGTCACTTAGAGTGCAGGGACTTGTTACAGCTGGAACACACCTGTTATAACTCAGTCAGAGATCTGTGATGGTCACTGCTACCTCCAAGCTAGTGACCCCACTTGGGAAACTCTATGTATAAAACCAAATGGGACATTAAGAAATGCAAAATAAAAAAACAAAAGAGCTGCGGACGCTGTAAATCAGGAACAAGAACAGAAGTTACTGGAAAAGCTCAGCAAGTCTGGCAGCATCTGTGAAGAGAAAATCAGGGTTAACGTTTCCGGTCCAGTGAATCTTCCTGTGTTGATTAAGAAATGCAAAGTGACAGTTTATTTAAACACTGATTGTTTTTGTGGTTAAGTCCCAAGAAAACTGTAGTTGAGTGATGATTTGGAGAAGTGTTGTACAGTTTTGGAGTGAAACTCCCTCAAATGGGATGATTCATAATACAGTTAATGCAAGCCTGTTGTCGTGGGTTTGAATGTCAGAGGCTCGAATCAATGGCTGCCTCTGCTAGGTCTGCAACAAATCTTCTATGTCCGATCACTTGCTGTAACGAAAGCATTTCCTCTTGGCACTTGGACAAGGAAAAGCTGCCTCTGGGCAGTCATGACGACAAATCTGGTGCATGCTGAGTATCAATGAACATGTGGATGGAAACCAGAAAAATTAAAGCTGAAGGCACTCTTGCCCCAATTCAGGAGAGGCTAGATGATGGGCAGGATCCTGTAGTTGGCAAAGAGGTCTTCCTGAGTTTGAATTTATCTTGGTGACCAATTTCCTGACCTGAGAAATCCAATTTTTTTTTTTCAGCCTTCGCGGATACTTGACCAAATACGATTGCTCCAGCGCTGATATCAACCCAATTGGTGGCATCAGTAAGACTGATTTAAGGAGCTTTATACAGTACTGTATTGAAAACTTCCAGCTCACCGCACTGAGAAGGTAAGTTAATGTTGCAAAGGTTTCAATTCAAGTTTACATTTGGAACAAAAACAGAAATAGCTGGCGAAACTCAGTAGGTCTGGCAGATTCTGTGGAGAGAAAGCAGAGTCAATATTTCACGTCCAGTGACCCTTCTTCAGAACAGAAATATATATTAAGGCTGTTTCGGGGGTAAGGAAGTGAAGTGAGAGATGTTTTGATTCTTGTGCTGTCGATGTTAATATTGAAGTATCTCTTGTGTTGTTCTGTTGCAGCATCATGTCTGCTCCACCAACGGCTGAGCTGGAGCCACTTTCAGAGGGACAGACATCTCAAACTGATGAGGTACTTGTTACTAAGTCTAAGGCTAACTTCTGACTTGTTTTTTAATTTGTTGCTGCCTTGGCTTCAGTGGAACAACATGAAATGTTAGTGTTCCGAGCAGCGAGAGAGTGTGAGCAACACAGCAACTGCAGTATCATAGAATAATCCATTACAGAAAGGGGCCATTTCCCCACTGCACTGTGCTGGCCCTTCAAAATGAGTCTCATTGGCCAAGTATCCGCAAAGACTTGAAAAAAAATCAGTTTTCTCAGGTTAGGATATCTGTCACCAAGACAGATTCAAACTCTGGAAAACTTCTAATGAGTTATCTGTTGAGTCTCACTCCCTTTGTCTTGATTGTTAAGACCCTTCAGGATCTTGTACGTTTCAGAGTGGAGGTTGAGGGGATGTTTCTATTGTGGGAGAATCTACAGCTGTTTCAAAATAAGGGGTTGCCCATTTAAGACCGATATGGAGATTGGTTTTTTTACCTCAGGGGGTCCTGAGTGTTTAGAACTCTTACTTTCTCAAAAACTGCTCCAGGCAGAATCTTTGAATATTTTTAAGGTGGGGGTGGATAGATTCTTTATATGTGAGGAGTTGAAAGTTGATAGTCAGGAAGCTGACATAATCCAATCAGCTGTGATTTTTATTGAGTGGTGGAGCAGGCTCGAGGAGCTGAGAGATTTAATCCTGCTCTGAATTTGTCTGTTCCCCGTAGCCCTGTACGGTCACCCCTTCACAAAGGTACCCAGTTTCCTTTAGGAAGTCACTATTGTATCTGCTTCCATCAGCCTGCTTGGTAGCTCATTGCTAGATCTCCAATACTTGCTGTGGAGTCTTTTTCATTCCGCGCTTCAGATTCCTTTAAACTTGACTCGTCTGCTTGTGCCACTGGAAACAGTTTACCCTTATTTACTCTATCAAGGTTCTTTGTCATTTAGTACACCTCTATCAAATATCCTCTCTTTGTCTCTGTCTCTCTCTCTTTCTTCCATCTCACATAACTGAAGTTTTGATCCTGACAGCATTCTGGTGAATTTCCACATTCTCCACGGCCTGGGTATTCTCTCTAAAATGTGGTGCCCAAGAATTCAACATAAGATTCCAGCTGGGGCTCACCAGAGTTTGATAAAGATTTAGCATAATTTCTTTGTTGGTTTCCTCTGTATTCATTGAAAGGCAAGGATCTTGTATGATTTATCTTGCACAGCTTTGTCAGTTTGTCTTGATATATGTTTGTCTGTACACCCTGGCTTTATGTTAATAAGCAATGTTACTGAATACTTAAAGGCTGCAATGAATCTGCTTATTGAGGTTCTAAGCATCAGAATGTCTCATTCATTGTATTACAGTTGTCAGCCTTGTCCTGAATGTACAACTATAGAGTCGTGCAGCAGCGCAGAACTTGACTATTGCTGTCATGTAGGTGAAGCTTTTCATCTTTCACTCTTCAGGACTAATTTCAAACAATCACAACAGTGTAAACTATTGTGCAAGGGATAAAAAGGGGTGTACTCCTCTAGAATAAATTGTTGTGTTAGTCTGAAATTTGGCATTCTTGCACCATTCCTGACCAGTGCAGGAAGATTCGGCAACTTGAATCTTTTCAACAATAATCTAAAACCAGTTGGATTCCATTTCAATGTTATACACATGCTTCAATGTAACATTCATTTCTGTACAGGCTGATATGGGGATGACATACACAGAACTGTCTGTCTTTGGGAAACTAAGAAAGATTGCAAAATGTGGCCCTTACAGTATGTTCTGCAAATTGCTGTACATGTGGAAAAGCATCTGTACTCCAAGGCAGGTAATATAATAGTAGGTTTGCAATATGTTTATTAGAAATAACAAGTAGCCAGGGAAAGTATCAGTAAATGATTTGAGTGAAGTCTCCACTATATCCACCAAAACATACACTTGTGCTAATAAACCAAAGAACTGCAGATGCTGGAGATCTGAAACACAAAAGCAGAAATTGCTGAAGAATTTTGGTAGGTCTAGTAGAACCTGTGGATAAAAAATAGAAGAGCGATAACAAGGTGTAGAGCTGGATGAACACAGCAGGCCAAGCAGCATCAGAGGAGCAGGAAGGCTGACGTTTCGGGCCTGGACCCTTCTTCAGAAGAAAGGTCTAGGCCTGAAACATCAGCCTTCCTGCTCCTCTG